GATTAAGTAATCAAACGTCTCAATTAGTTGAGCGTTTGTTTTTGTTGAATGTTACTAGAAAACAAGGCGTAATTCTGATTTTGATATTATTGCAATGCACATAAAGCACATAAAGCATAGTTCTATGCATGTGAGGAATCTACATGCATAGTTCATTTGATAGAGGGAAGGGGTGGCTAAACAATTTCTGACTGCCAAGTAATAGAAACGGATCAGGCCCAAGGGGGGGGGTAAAACCACACCCCCTTGAAGAAAAGTTTCTGATGGGGCTGAGCCCCCCCCCCCTCGGCAAAAGCAGATTATGAATAATGTAGCCAGTCCATGTTAGTTTCTCGGAGATATCTTTGAAGAATTCCCAACTTATCAAGACAGATAACAATATTAAATGTAGATGGCAAAATAAACGCGTAAAATAAACCCATCATGCATGTGACTTGTCAACGAAATAAAAACAAAGAAACAAACATAAAAACCTATGCTCATTAATTAAGGGGAAAATCAGATTTAGCAAGCAAACTCCGAGACTTAACAAGAATTTTTGAATATTTTTTGCTTATACCATTCCGATCCTTGTCATGTTTATTTTTAAAAATTTGAAAGGAATAATTGATCGGTTAGTTGTCACTTGTACATTTTGCTTGCAATTTGTCACCCCTATTAAAAGATCTGGTTCTGCCTTTATCAGTCAAAGTTCATAGTTGTCAAATAAAAAATCCCCTTGGCAAGAAGGCCGCAGCTTATACTTTAAAGAAAGTAGTCGGTCCATGATAGTGTCTGGGAGTTGTCTCTGAAGAATTCTCAACATATCAAGATACGACTGATAATATAAAATGTAGATGGCAAAATAAAACGGCATGCCCCTCTAAACATATGCTCATTAATTAATATGGTTACAAGCAAAAAAGGATATAAAAAGGATATATAAAAGGATTTAAATGGTTGCAACGCATTATCTATTTTAACAGAAATCAAGATAGTAACTCATGCAACAAAACGGAAAATGGTTTAGAAAATAAATCAATGAGATCAACGTTATACAATGATGGAAACAAATCAGATAGTAAAAAATCTTATTCTAATTTAATTCCTAAATCAAGTCTCAACCCTCCAGACACTGGTGACATTTGAACGCATTTTATCTAATTTAAATTAGAATTCAAATTAGACTTTATCTAATTTAAACAATCAAATCAAATCAAAAGTAAAACATGCAAACAGGTATAACTGCTTATGTGATCTAATATCCGAGGAAATGTGCGTTCGGGGTGTGTGACGCTTATTACCAGTCCTACATCGCCGCTGAACACCCTGAAAAGAAATCTGCTTATGATAAGTTATTCTTTTTACACAATGGTCAGAGCAATATTTCAGTATTCAATAGCAAGTGATAAATCATATATTTAGGATATGGATGATATTGGGATTAGAGGGATGATATGGATATCAACCCGGGTATTTTAAAAAATTTCATTTTTCAAAAACAATTTTTTTAATTTTTTCAAACATTTTCTCTCATTCAAAAGAGGATTTTAGATATATTTTGCTCTTGATCATGGTATAAGGTCGTTATTCACCTGTCGGGATGATATTGAGAATATCCCTCGGATGATATCAATATTTCCCTCTGTCACTGCGTTCCCTCGGGATATATTCATATCATGTGATATTCCCCATATGAAATCCCTCCTGGTGATTAACTTCTTTGTATATACTTTCAACTAAAACAATGAAACAGAAACACAATGCATGCCAAACATTATCTATTGTTATATTATGGTTATTTCATAGTTTGCACTTGTATTCAGCAACTGTGTTTCTCAAACCAAATATGGGATAAACCTTTTTAGGGTTATCACGTCAGACTTAACACGTCGCTTGAGGCAAGATGCATAAACTATATAATTCCACGGCTATAACTTGAAGAACGCCATTGTTGTGTCTGTACCCCTTTAGGATGGGCCGTATATTGTTCTTGTGTGTATCCTACCCACGGGAACCTACAAAACAGAAAAATATATAATTACATTATCAAAAGGGGAAGTCCCGTCTATATAAATCCCTAGATTGAAGTCGTTGAAACATCCCCATATTCTGATATTTGCAAAGTCAGTAGTAGTTGTACCTTATGCATGAATTGTAGCTTTTGGGAAAGATGATAAAACGCAAAATATATTTAAATACTTGGTGAAGTCAGGCATTCATGATCTAACAAGAAATTTAGGGAAGGCGTTGATTATAATTAAACGTAAAAGCAAAAGTTGACCATTGCATCTCGGTGGTTATCATGACAAATGAATGTTCATTCGAAGACTTCATTTTGCAAATTTGACCCAAAATCACACGAAAAATGGTCAGAATTATGAAAAACTGCATGATTTTGAAAGAGTTTTTGGCCAGGGGGGGGGGGGTTGCCTAAAATAAGTGAAACTTTGAGAACCCACGGGAGTACATGTAATTACTCACTGTAGAAGTTAAATGCACGCGAGGAAATGTTTTTTTATTTGTGATACTCCCTAGAGTTGCTTGTTGTGAATCAATAGAGTAAGAACGATACGTTTTGGATGTAAATAATATTAAAAGTTATTCAATGATTTGAAGTGCAATACAGGATATATTCTGCTCGAGAAATTCCGTATTGGAACGAGACGAAGTCTCAATTTCACAATTTCAAGCTGTAATCGGCCCTTGTGCCCGGGAGTAGAAATAAACTATATCTATGACAACATATTTCATGTCACTAAATTTAAACCCCTTATTTATGGAAAATACTTTACATTGTTCTTACTATGGATGTTATATAGGATTTAATTCAAATTTGAAATCCGGAATTTTTAGTACTTTAAAAAGATGAATTAAATATGGATGTTCTTTGTACAGTTTGTGCATTTACAGGATGTTGTGTACGTAGAAACAGAGAGGCTAGCTACATGTACACGTATTTTAGAGAACTTGTACGTGAACCCTGTTCCTCCCTCAATTTATTTTTTTTACCATCGGGAAGCTATCGTTCCGAGCTAAACCATGGTGTTATTTATTAAGAATTCCGACGACAAATTGCAGAATTATAGACCGATTAATGCAGTTTCTCAAATGGCTTGTTTAGAGCCAGAAAAGTGGATTCAGACTGCAACATGGTTGCTATATTGCTCTGGGTTTCGTCAGAGCCGACCGCCCGTGTATGATGTAGTATTGAAGGCCGGAGTGCAACTAGAGCACGGGTATTTAAAATGTATTCCCAACCTCCCAAAAAGGTTAATTCATCAAAACTACTCCGGGACTGTACGCACGCGCACGAAACTACTGTAAGAAGAATAGGCGTAACATTCCTGTCGACTTATTAATAAACGTAATTTTTAAAGAAAAATTAAATCACCGAAAAGCGTATACAACTGCTTCAAATGTTTGTACATGTGTGCCACTGGACCAATGTGAAATGGAATGATCCGTAATCACTTTAATTGTATTCTATTTAGACGAATCAAATATTCATTGAAACTGAGAAAAACGCAACACTAGAATCTTGTCTGAAAGTTGAGTTAATATAGTCTCTACTACATATGTAAATGAAAAATAATGTAGGTTTAGTTTAATTAATATGCGTATGCAATCGTTGAGCGAAGGCAACACTGGCGTTAAGCTATGTAAGCACGAACGGTTCGCGGGTTAAGTCCTGTCGCAAAGCAAGGTAAACGCGAGGTAGTCACACACGCGAAGCGACCGCGCCGCTCAAGTAAAACAAGGGTATCGCACTCGCACGGCAAAGGAGTGTACGGCGGACGGCAAAGTGACACTTTCGTTAATAGATGAACTGTAACAGGTCCAAAACCTAATCAGATCTAGAATGAAGTGAGCTGAACAAGATGTTAAAGTTTTAAAGCAACTGTGAAGCCTTTTTTTTCGAGGTCTCCTCTGCCGAAGGCAGCGCAAAGTAGGAGACCTCGAACCATTGATCGGGTTTGCTCCTGTAATTATTCACTTCTTCACCTCTTTAAAATGTGATTTCAATCAGTTGATCAAATTTTCAGACTTTGACCTCAAATTCAAGTATTAATATTTATAAAAAAAAATACTGACTCATTATTATATTTTTAATAGTCTTTCAAATAAAGTGAAATGAAGCCAAAATCAGCTAAAATTATGCAATGTCGTAAAATGGCGTGACTGGAATATGATGCAATCACCAGTGACCTCAGACACGTATTGCCACATCAACAACTAAACAAACAATTAATAAGACTTCACTGATTGGTTTAAAGATTCTTCGCATCATTTGTGACGTCAAAAACATGTTACCCAACCAACAACTAAACAAATAACAAATAGGCATATAGGTTCGTTCAGTGCCACGCTCTTGAATCAGTATATATACCTATATGAGAGGGTCTGGCATTTTTTTACTTGGAGACCTCGACTCGAGGAGTTTGCTGCATTTTCTTGTCTTAAATTTTGCAGACAAGGATTTTAGCATTTGACTTCAAAATGGCCGACAGGAAGTAGGTATCGAGTTGAAATTTTTTCATCCATATCTGTATGCACTCAGAAGTTATCCCTGAAAATTTGAAGGTGATATCTGTAGCGGTTTTGGAGAAAACTGCCGGACGTACGACGGACGGACGGACAGACAGACAGACGGACGCGCCTAGGCCGACAATATGGCCCCACACTATGTGGTGGGGACATAACTAGCATCATACAGGCCTAAAAAACAAGCTCCGTACGAGGATTGTGCTCCTTTTTGCCCGTAATGACTCATAATTCTCGAGGCTCATACGAGCTTGAACGGGGCCCGACGTAATTTGCTTGTGTTTATGTCCTTGTTCACAGAAAATATCACTTCAAAGTCAAGTGTTTTACGATGAAACTATCAAAATTCAGTATCATAATCAATAACATTATTTTCTTCACCATCTCATTTGACTTTGGCTTATACATTAGGCATATTGTCTCAACATGTAAGATTGTAAGAAAGAAGTGGATGGTTTGTTCAATAGTTAACTTACCCATCCTGACGACAGGACATGACCTCTTACATTCCTGACGACATCTTTTAGGCTTGCACCTGTCATTGTTGACAATTGCTATTCTTGTCAACTTGTCTGCCATGTTACCTTATCCTCTGGACAATCCTACAAAAATAAATATAAAACATGTTTATATGTTTGGACCGAGCTTTATAAGACAAATGAGCAGTCTATAAATAAAGTATCTCAATACGATGCAACTGTATGATTGTTAAAGATCACAAGACAAGAAGTTTGGCAGTTTGAAAATTCATTTTGTAACCAAATGTCACTCTAGGGAACTAGGCTGCGTCAAGACCCACAGTGGGAGACACTGAAGGAGTGTAGATAGGCTGCTAGAGTTTTCCTTTTTTACAAAGGAAAGCAGAACCTAGCAGCCATTGAGGTCCTTCCATACTTCAGCCAACATATCAATACCAACACTAGGTTGTATCATCCTTCTAAGTTTATACAACCATCAACTAGTCAGAATCTGGCCACTGGCCAACTGCTTATTATATATGTATGCTCTCTGCCATGATACAATTATGATTCCTAAAATTGCAACAATACGTGCCAGACAAGTGGCATTTATAGAAAATATATTATGTTTCCTGAAATTGCAACAATACATGCCAGACAAGTGGCATTTATAGAAAATGTATTATGATTCCTGAAATTGCAACAATACATGCCAGACAAGTTGCATTTATAGAAAATGTATTATGATTCCTGAAATTGCAACAATACATGCCAGACAAGTTGCATTTATAGAAAATATATTATGTTTCCTGAAATTGCAACAATACATGCCAGACAAGTGGCATTTATAGAAAATGTATTATGATTCCTGAAATTGCAACAATACATGCCAGACAAGTTGCATTTATAGAAAATATATTATGTTTCCTGAAATTGCAACAATACATGCCAGACAAGTGGCATTTATAAAAATGTATTATGATTCCTAAAATTGCAACAATACATGCCAGACAAGTGGCATTTATAGAAAATGTATTATGATTCCTAAAATTGCAACAATACATGCCAGACAAGTTGCATTTATAGAAAATGTATTATGATTCCTGAAATTACAACAATACATGCAAGACAAGTTGCATTTAGAGAAAATGTATTATGATTCCTGAAATTGCAACAATACATGCCAGACAAGTTGCATTTATAGAAAATGTATTATGATTCCTGAAATTGCAACAATACATGCCAGACAAGTGGCATTTATAGAAAATTGGCATGCATTGTCATTCTTGGCTATTGCTCGATTCCAAGATTAAAAAAGTGTTGTTAAGAATGGATGCATACAAATTTAGATATTTCCCTAGGACAATAGCTAAATGGAACACTCTACCTGGTGACATCCCTAAGACTGTGACAGTCTAAGTAATAGTTTAAAGCATCATACATACTCGTATATGTCAATGTCAATAACTGCAATTAAAAGGTGTGTTTTTCAGTATAGATCTATTTTTACCCACAGCACTCAACTCATTATACGTCAGTGATCTCGCTAGGCTTTTAGAGTCTGGCGGGCCGCCGGACTCTATCATGTTAGTGCCAGTCTCTGGTGCTAAGAATAAATGCTGCCGGGATCAAATTCTTTTTAAAATATTTTTCTTTGCCACTTTTCATCCTATTTCACCTTAGCTTTTGAGCTACAACTTCTCAAAACAAAAAGTCAAAACAAAAGATAAAGTGTTTTACTTACTATTCAGATTCTAATTTTCTAAAATAATTGATTTTCCATTGAAATCACCGTATTATTAAGAAAATTTTTGAAGTTGTTTCCTTCATGTGGTATGAAGGGAGACATCTAATGAGAAAAATACTTGTAATTGATTCCATTAAACATACTCCCTTCAATAATATTTGCAATTCCCATTTTATCATGCAGATTTATATAATAAAAAATTAAATCTTAGGGAGGGAAACTAAAAAACAAAACTGCCACTACTTGTAGCTTCATCTAGGAATGTGTTTAGTCGGAAATTTGAATTTGAATATTTATTCCACATGAATGGAGGAATGGCGCGAATGTTGAATTTTTCTGGGTTCTAAAAATTTCCTGGTGAGAACCCTGTACGTCCATGTTTTAATGTAAATGGTCCCCAGTGCACAGCAACAAACCTGCACTACTGGTAAAGAGGGGCGATAACGCGGTAGCCTGACAGTCGTCCCAGGGTATCTCAACATAAAGGGACTTCCTAGGGGGCTTCATGGGCCAACCAAGAAGGTTCCTTTCAATTTTAAATGAGTTGTAAACCATAGATCTATTTTTAGTGTAGGTTTTAAATTATATTCTATTCAAATTCTATCACTGTTAAATTATATATCTGTTTAATATGGGCTTATTAGCCTTTTGCAGATTATTGACTTGGACATAGACCTTGCCTTGTTTTCTACCCTGCGTGCAGAGTCTAGTTAAACTACAGACGAAGACGAAGACGAAGCTCTCTTTTAAGAAGTGAAGTCAAACGAATGCAAAGGGTACTTGTTTTCATATTTAAGCAGATCAAAGCAATCGACTCCCCCAATTTCACCAGGTGGAAAGGGCAGTTTAAAACTTTTTATCATGAAATAGATATAACAAGAACATGGTATCTCAGACATCTACAAATTATCTCAACATCTACACTTACTTTTTTCATCATCCCACAAGTGTTTACTGGATTGAGAATGAAATTGGATCTGAGTGCCCTTGTTCTATTTTCTTACTCCCCATGATTCTATTAATTTGTAAAAGACTAGTCTCATATTGGAGAATGAAGTTCATCAGTCTAACTGCATGTTACGCCTGCTTTGGACAATTTTGATATTTTTACATATTGTAGATTTAAATGTCCTCTTTTGAATAACCATAATTTAATTTGGGTGATATTTCTATATTTTTCATAAAAAATATTAGCCCAGTACACTGATGAACTTCTTCCTCCAAATCGAGTCTTGTCTTTAATGAATCAGTCTACTGCTACAGACCTTGACAAAGATCCTCAGCTCACGTGGGGTACCTTTTTGACATTTGGTATGGCAATGGACCCAAAACTATGGCAATGATTGGATTTTCCACTTCCTGGTATGAGAATAGTCATAGAAAATATGTTACCCCGTTTAAAGAGGGCTCACAATTTTTCTCTATCGATTCCATTTGAAAGTTTGAGAGCTGACTTCTGTCAGCTCAGTAGCTACAGTCCTCACCATAAATAAATAACACCTGGATTTGCCGAAGTGAGAATTTCCCATGTAAAAAGAAGTGAATTTTCAGAAGGCTATACATCAGTGGATGAGAGTATACAAAATGTAAAATATACAAAACTTAAGGGATGTGTATCTAGACATTATTGGAAAGTATGAAGTCTCAAATCACCATGTTCTGGAAATTGTGATAGAAAATGGGAAGATCACAACAGGCAGTGCTCGATGGTGAATCAAGTTCAAAAACTCCAGTAAAATCAGGAGTTCCTCAGGGAACAGTTCTTGGACCACTCTGTTTCCTTGTTTATATTAATGATATGGGCAATAACCTATCATCCTCAGCCAGTCTTAAGCTTTTTGCCGACGACAGCCTTTTATTCATGACAGTCGAAAGCAAGCAAGATGCATTAACACTACAGGAGAATCTTGATAAACTGGTCTCCTGGGCATCAACATGGCAAATGAAATTCCATCCATCAAAATGCTATGTGCTAAATATTCACAAAGGTAAATCCCCTATCATGCACAATTACACCATGCTAGGGGAAAACCTTAAGTCGGTAACACACATCCCATACCTAGGAATTGACATCACAAATAACTTACGCTGGACTACACATATTCAAACTATTGTATCCAAAGCCAATAAGGTGCTTGGATTTCTCAGGTGCAACCTCCATCAATGCCCTGAAAAAGTGAAGGCTCAGGCGTATAAGTCACTAGTCCGGCCTAATTTAGAGTATGCCAGCTCGGCATGGGATCCATACCGACAAAAAGATATTGATATGTTGGAACAGGTACAGAGAAGAGCAGCCAGGTTTGTAACCAAATGTCACTCAAGGGAACCAGGCTGCGTCACCAAAGCTCTTCAAGACCTACAGTGGGAGCCACTGAAGAAGCGTCGAGAGGCTGCTAGAGTTTTCCTTTTCTACAAAGGAAAGCAGAACCTAGCAGCCATCGACGTGCCTCCATACTTCCGCCAACAGATCAATACAAACACTAGGTTGTATCATCCTTCTAAGTTCATACAACCATCAACTAGAACGGATGCATACAAATTTAGCTATTTCCCTAGGACAATAGCTAAATGGAACACTCTACCTGGTGACATCTTAGACTGTGACAGTCTAAGTAGTTTTAAATCATCATACTATGCCTATGTCAATAACTGCAATTAAATAGGTGTGTTTTTAATATAGATCTATGTTTTAATGTAAAGGGTCCCCAGTGCACAGCAACAAGCCTGCACTACTAGTAGAGAGGGGTGATGTCAACGCGGTAGCCTGACAGTCTCCCCAGGTAAAATGAGTTGTAAACCATAGATCTATTTTTAAATGTTAAGGTACAGCTGGAAAGTAACATTTTGGTAAAAAATTGCTATACCTGGACATGTTATTTTCTGGTACAAAATAAAGTATGAAGCCATGTGTCAATTTCCTTGCTTTTTTCAGGAAAGTATCATTACATTGTCTTCTTTTAAAATACGAAGTGTCTGGAGTACCTTAAAATTTAAGGCTCTTTAGCCAAAATGCTAAAGAGCCTTAAAATTTAAGGCTATTTAGCTGTGAACATAGTGTTTTGGCTAGAGAGCCTTTGTGTTAATAATCCGTGTTTATATTGTTTTTTATTGAAGTTTTCGTCATCTAAACAATAAAATAACACTCTCGAAAGTTTTTCAACCTAGAATGCCACTTAAAAATTTCACACATGTATATCACTATTGTTACGTACGAAAATAACAGAAAGTAAAAACAGCAATTAAAATATGATAACAATATATTTATATTTTGAAAACTAAATAATATAACAATTATATAAAGGAGGTTTAATACTTAAGTGATGTCCAATCAACGATACGGCTTATTCTTGATGTCGAAAAATGTCGTTGACGATCCTTGGGAATGTTCCAGATCACGAAATGTTTCAATAATCGTTAATAGTTCTCCAATGTTTGTAATAATCCAATAATGTTTGTTGTAATCCTATAATGTTCGTATCCAATAATGTTTGATGATAATCCACAAATGTTTGATGATAATCCACAAATGTTTATGATAATCCACGAATGTATATGATAATCCGTATATAGTGTGTGTTATAATATATGTCCATATAAAGTCCTCAGGTTGTATATTTGTAGTGTTATAAATGTTCCCACAGTAGGTGTCTATAATATTCCGCTAAGAAGATGTCCTTTTGATAAACTTTGAAATTCTGCTGACAGCCCAAATCAGCTCTCTCATTATATAGTGCAAAGGCATAGTCCAGATGTTTCAAGAAGTTACGATTTCTAGAAAATAACACTGATTGGACATCTTAAGTCACATGATTCAATCTTGATTAAATGATTACAGTTCCAGTACTTTCTAGAAGGCCAAGAGTTAATGAGTCATTCAGTTCAGTTATGTTTACAAGATATAATGTCATTGTGACCTTGACTTGACCTAAGATCTCTAATGAAGATCAGTTACAGTATATGCATATTGATAAACTAAACTTAATGTGAATATAATTGAATATAATACTGTAACACCTCCCTCCTTAAAAGAAAAGTTTTGAATACAATGAAAAACTTTTACAATAATATCTGGTGTAGCGAGGGTTACATTTTTTTAAAAATGAGGTTGAGACTTACATAACATTTGTTTACAATAGTCAAATACAATAATATTTATATAGTTACAGACTGAGTAAAACCCAAAAAACATATTACAATAATATTATCAAATCACACTCTAAGTACAATCTTTTTATTATATCAATAAAAAGCCTTAGGCAAATGCAGTATAAATCAAATAGCCTCTTAAAAATAGAGACATTACACTCTTGAAAGAGTGTCAGCAATTAAATTATCCTTGCCTTTGATGTGTCTTATGTCAAGATTGTACTCTGACAATAACAGACTCCACCTCAACAATCTACGATTCTTGTTCTTCATTCTATGAAGGAATGTCAGCGGATTGTGATCAGTAAATACAGTAACTGCATGAACTGGTGCACTAACATATACTTCAAAATGTTGTAATGACAGAAGTAATGCTAGACATTCCTTTTCTATGGTGGAGTAGTTTTTCTGATGTTTATCAAATTTCTTTGAATAATAACACACTGGATGATCAATACCATCCCTTTCTTGTAATAGGACAGCTCCCATTCCTACATCAGAAGCATCTACTTGAATCTTGAATGGCTTGCTAAAATCAGGTGCAACAAGCACTGGTTCTTCACTTAGTATGGCCTTGATTTTATCAAAGGCTGTATGACATTGCTCAGACCACATATATTTGATGTTTTTCCCAAGTAAATTGGTCAATGGAAGAGCAATTGAAGAAAAATTTGGACAAAACTTCCTATAAAAGCCAGCCATTCCAAGACTTCTCATTAATTCTTTCTTGTTAGTAGGAGCTGGGAGTTGTGTAATTGATTCCACTTTGGCACTCACTGGTTTGACCTGTCCTTGACCTACCACATGGCCCAGATATTCAACTGTGGCTTTACAAAATTCACTTTTAGCCAAATTGATGGTTAAATTGGCTAAAGAGATTCTTTCAAACAACTTACGCAGCAAACACATGTGTTCATCAAAAGTGTCAGAATAGACAATTACATCATCGATGTAGACACCAGTGTTTTCAAGATCTGCTAATAAGCCATTCATCATTCTTTGAAATGTGGCAGGTGCATTTTTCATACCAAATGGCATAACTTTAAATTGGTACAAACCATCAGGAGTAACAAAGGCAGATACCTGTTTTGCTCTTTCAGTTAATGGAACCCCTAGGAATCCTTTGAGGAGATCAAATTTACTGACATATTTAGCAGTTCCAATTTTGTCAATACAGTCGTCAATTCGTGGTATTGGATAAGAATCGGTCTTTGTTACTCGATTCACCTTGATATAATTAACTACTAGCCTACGTCCACCGTTTGATTTTGGAACAATGAAAGCAGGTGAACTCCATGGGCTATTGCTTTTTTCAATTATGTCATTTTCTAACATATAATTGACCTCAGCTCTCAAATCTTCAGATTTTGATGGATTAACTCTATAAGCATGTTGCTTAATAGGGGTCACATCTTGGACTTCAACATCATGATAAGCTATAGATGTCTTAGTCGGTACATCAGAGAAGATATCAGTGAACTCATGAATTAATTCTGTGACTTGCTGTTTTTGATCATTTGTCACATGGTGCAATTTATGATCTAGATTTGATAATACTTCAGAGTTCTTTAACCTAGACAAACCTTTGATATCTTCATAGTCTAAATCAGTATAAGTGATATCATCTGAATCTTGTAGATCAGTTTCTTTTACAAGGGCAGGTGCCAAAGTGACTACAGGTTTAACTGAGCCAGGCTCTTTGTCTGGCTCAAAGTACCTTTTCATCATATTGATGTGACACAGTTGTGTTTCTTTGCGCCTATCTGGAGTTTTGACAATATAATTGAGGTCATTGACCTTGGAATCCACTACATAAGGACCATAGAATTTTGCCTGTAATGGATTTGTCTGAAGTGGCAGCAATATAAGAACTTTGTCACCTGGCTGGAAAGATCTTTCTTTGACTTTTCTGTCATACCAAGTTTTCATTTTATCTTGGCTATTTAGCAAATTTTCTTTGGCTATTTCACAAGCCTTTGATAGGCGCTCTTTAAACCCAGTGACATAGTTCAATAAATTAAACTTTTCAGTTTCTGACAGCCACTTTTCTTTGAGCAATTTAAGTGGACCACGCACAGAATGACCAAATACTAGCTCAAATGGACTGAACCCTAATGATTCTTGCTTAGCCTCTCTGGTAGCAAACAGAAGCAAGGGTATGCCCTCATCCCAGTCTTTCTCATATTCAAAACAGAAAGCTCTGATCATGGTCTTAAGCGTCTGATGGTAACGCTCTAGAGCTCCTTGAGACTCTGGGTGATAGGCACTTGACTTACACTGTTTGATACCCAAGGTATCCATGACTTGTTGGAATAAGCCTGACATGAAATTTGAGCCCTGATCAGACTGGAGATCTTTTGGCAGTCCAACTAAGGTGAAAAATTTGATGAGTGATTTCACTATGTTTTTGGCTTTGATATTTCTAAGTGGAATCGCTTCTGGAAACCGTGTGGCCATACAAAGAATAGTGAGTAAATATTGATTACCAGATTTTGTTTTTGGTAATGGACCAACACAGTCAATGAGAACCTTACTAAATGGTTCGTCAAATGCAGGTATAGGGTGTAAAGGAGCAGTTGGAATTTTCTGGTTAGGTTTCCCTACCATTTGACATGTATGACAAGACCTACAATACTCTTGGACATCTTGTTTTAATTTGGGCCAATAGAAATGGTTGAGTATTTTATGGTATGTTTTAGTTACTCCTAAATGACCTGCCATAGGCGAATCATGAGCTAGACTCAAGATTTCCTTATGATATGATTTTGGGACAATAATTTGATGCACAATTGCCCAATCATCTTCAGGGGAAGCTTCAGGAGGTCTCCACTTTCGCATTAATATGCCATCCTTTTTGTAGAAACAAACAGGGACCTTGTCAGCTTCATCAATAGTAAGACATCTTTTATGAAGATCAATGAGTGATGGATCATGCTCTTGTTCATAAATTAACATGTGTTTAGAATGAGGATCATTTTTCAAAGAATCACTATCAGAAATAGAGGATGAAACCTCAGAACAAGGAGGGGATGAAACCTCATGAACACTAGCAGAAGAAGATGAAACTTCATCAAGACTAGCAAGAGCGGGCGCAACCGCATTAAAATAGTGATCCTGCTCAGAAGGTGAATCACCTCTGGCAATTGGCTTTTTCAATGAAGAATTTGCCTCAATAGATGACTGCTTGGCTTGAACAGAAGGTTGTTTCAATGAAGAATTTGCCTTTAAAATAGGATAAGGACCATCTTTAACAAGTGGTGAGTGACATTCATCATCAAACAAGGAGCTTAAAAACCCACTATCAAAGTCATCTCCCACAGACGAATCCCCGCTATCAGCTAACCTTTTAGCCATAGCCCTAGTAACAGCACAAGCAGGATATATATCAGAGTCCTCTTGGACAGAATCCTCAATAGAACAAGGCTGATCAGAAACAATGGGGTCTAATGATACCTTACCCCCAGCTAAATCATTGCCTAAAAGCAATGCGACTCCTTCAACAGGAAGTTGTGGCCTAACACCAACAATAACTGGCCCTTTGACTAACTCTGATGTGATATGAATACGATGGAGGGGAACTTTAGTAAATCCTAATTCAATGCCTTGCATCAAAATATGGGTACCTGTAAATGACTCCGCAGATAAAGGAAGGACACCTTCTAACAACAAGGTCTGAGATGCACCCGTGTCTCTAAGAATCTTAATTGGCTTTGAATTGGTATCATCACTTGACAGTGACACAGATCCTTCCGACATGAAAGGCTTATAATCCTCCATAATATCACTATGAGTAGATTTCTCAGTATGAGTATATGAATCCCAAACAATGGGCTTTCTTGAAATGGGAACAGTAGCACAACCATTTGAATGAGCAGAACCAGACATCTCTCTTCTATTCTTAATCCTATAGCATTCAGAAATAAGATGACCAGGCTTTTTACAATAATTACAGGTGACATTTGATTTTGGACCTGAAGAATTTGATTGATCTGATTTTGAGCTAGAACTCTGTGATGAATGAGACTGGTCTTTTGCTTTGTTTGATGTATTAGATGATGAGGACTGATTTGATTTTGTATCATATGAAGGTTTGTTACCTTGATAACCTCTAAAGTTAGGATTACCTTTGATAAAACTACCCTTATGAGTAAGAGCATAATCATCAGACAGGGTGGCAGCTTGACTTAAAGTTTCTACCTTGTGTTCATCTAAGTAAGTTCTAATGTGATACTGAACACAGTTTTTAAATTGTTCTATTAGCATAAGCTCTCTGAGCTTTTTAAACTCTTCAGATACATCTTTAGAGACAAGCCACCTGTCAAAAAGCTGCTCTTGCTCTCGAGCAAACTCAACATGGGTTTGGTCACTCTGTTTGTGGGCATTTCTAAATTTTTGTCTGTAAGCTTCTGGTACTAGTTCATAAGCTTTAAGAATTGCATTTTTAACTAGGTCATAATCAGAGCATACTTCTCCTGAGAGAGAGGCAAATATTTCACTTGCTTTTCCAATGAATACACTCTGGAGCATAACTGGCCATGCAGATTTAGGCCAGTCTAGGCTCTGAGCAACCTTTTCAAAATGTGTAAAGTATT